TCTCTTTGCATGAGCCTCAGCAATGTCGTGAGAGGTTTATCTCCTGATATTTTCGTTTATATGGACTATAAATAAAATCTCATGAATAGTTCACTTCCCTTCATTCTGATGTCTTTGGCAAAATCCATATGAATTCTTCACTACATTCGATAGCCTGTCATTCACCTCATTTAATCTGATGCAAATGAATTTCGCCAGTTTGTATTGCTCCATATCAACTATCAGTCTATGGTTCTCCTTTGTGCATTTTCGACAAATTGTATGCTACTAGGAGTCATGCACCTTCTGGCATTATTGAATTCCGTGTCCATTTGTTAAATAGTTTGTAATTGCTTGCTGTAACATTACTTAGACTAGGATGAAAAGGTAATATCCAAACTCAGTGAATATTTGAGTACGAAAGTTGAGTAAGATAAACTGTGGGCAAAAGTAATCAAAATGGATAAGTTCGAGCTTCATGAAACGAAACGATATAAATATTCAACGGGGATAACAGATCCTTAATCGCAGTTGTGCATAGTATAGTGGCGTAGCCGTAGCTTAAATCTATTTCCAAAGAAGTGGTTTAACCTCATTTTCGCCCCTTAGCGAAGAAACCTTGTAGAACTTACCTCCCGTTTTCTGCATCATCATGAAAGTTTTCATCTTCTGACCTTTTATTTGGTGCATTTTCACACATTTCGCCCGCATAGTAAGCGAGAAGGGCAAGGGAAAATAGACTTCCCAATGAAGGATGGTGAAATTATGACATACTAAGACAGAGCACACAACTAGTACGCCTTGCAGGATCTCCGTCACCCCAAGCAAAGTGAAAAAATTAGGTCAAGAAAAATTATAATTAGGTAAATGGATATATATATATATACATAACACTGGCTATTATGACAATTGCTAAAAAATGGTTAAGCATAAAATAACTTATACTTTACGATTCAAGCTTTTATTAGCTGATGGAATTCAGAGTAGGATAATCTCAAATAATTCTGCCCAGATTAAAAGTTTATGTTGCACAAATTTTGATTATAAACAAATTCAGAAAATTAACTATGAGAGGTAAAAAACTATTAGAGGCCTTATACAGGACCTTTGGCATTAATTGAACAACAGGAAGAGACATCACTAGAAAAATGATCCTAAGGGACAATTACAATTG